AGGCTGGAAGACTATTTGAACAGGATCGGTCACATCTGCTTGGAGAAGACATCCTTAGGTTTTCTTTAATCGCTTGGGTCTCACGGCTTTGATCTGGGTCTTTGGCTTGTGAAAGTGCGGAACTGGTTGAGGGTGCAATTTTGTAGGTCCAGCCTGCAGCATCTCCTGCTTTGTTCTTGGGATACTCCTGAGTCAGTGTCTCTCTTCTGCTTTGCGCAAGAATTTTATATTGAGTTGGGAGCTTTGTTTCTCCTTCATTGCTTTAATTTAATGCCGGTTCACTAAGTGGAAGTCTTGGTTTAAATATTGTCCTAAATTGTCACCTGCTTTTGGTTTATGTGTTTTTATGTGGTTCATTGACCATCTTCATAATAATGGAAGTGCCAACTTATTTAATGCCAAGTAAACTTGTTATCTGAACCCAGCAATTGAGATTTGTCAAACAAGGGCCCTGGCTTAGTGTGTGCATAAACTTTGCCATTTGTGGTTTTAATAAACCATGACTAAAAATATCATGGCTTAGTGTCATTTATGAACAAAGTCAGTGATTATCCACTTACTGTATTTTTATCCAGTAAGAATAAAGAAGCTCTGAGAGAAAGTCAGCCACGAGAAAATAAATGGAAAGTGTGTGCTGCAACATTGTGGATCCTTCGCCAGTTAATTTCTCTCTGTTAATGGAATGCAATTCATTGCATGAGCAATGAATGATATTGGGCTGCTGATAGAAGTAGAGGACACGCTGCTAGCTGCCCTCTGGGATTGCCACCTCTTCCTTTCCAGTGTTGTTTCTGGTCCTCGGTGTGCCCAGAGCAAGTGCCCGTGTTCCCCACACTTTTCAGCAAAGGTTCAACTAAGAACTGAGCAGCTGAAGACCCAGAGAACCCTGATGGAAAAAATAAAAGTCACTGCTGGGTTCCTTCTGCTGTTCTCCCTGTCCATCCCAACTGTTCGCTTGTTAGATACTGTAAATAGAGTTCAGTTTTGTCTCGAGGACCTAAGCAATATTCAGGCTTATCTTGGCACTCCAAGAGAGGGTGGAGGTGGGGCAATTAAAACTTGGGCAGACCTGCTGTTTGCCTCTGTTTCCATTGATCTGCGTGTCAACGCTTAATTTAGAATTTGCAGGGCTGATGATAACAAAGAACGAGAAAACTATGGGTGACCCCAGGACGTTAATAAATCTTGAAAAAGGTTTATTAAGAAATCGCCCCTGAATACTCACAGCGTCAGGAGGACCCCAAAACAGGCGGGTGAGCTCTAACGGCATGGGAAAGGTTACGTTCTGGAACTCGACTCATGAGGAGGCTGGGAAAAGAGGGTAAATCTTGCAGGCCCTTTTCCCGGCTCTCCCACCCCTTGGAATTCTCACCTCTTGTTCTGGGACAATTAGCAGGGGAAGTTAATGTCTGCATTTGCATTCATTGAAAAGGAAAAGATTACACAAGAGTAAGCACGCACACCATGGGGAATACCCATTGAAAGGAACGCCTTGGCGCCCTGGCAGCTGCGGTCCGCAAGAAAGCCTTCAGGGTGCAGCTGAGTCAGGCCTTTGCCAACTTCAGTAGCGGCGCAAGCCGGCTGGGGAGGCTAATTAACCTGCGGCTGGTGCTCTGTAGAGAAGCGCTGCGCAACCAAGAAGGGAGGGCTTGTTTAAGCAATCTCCCCTCTGCAAAGGGGAAATTCTGTGAAGGGGGAAAGGGAGGAAACAAAGAGGCAAATGAGGCGGTCAGACACAGGACAGCCTCCTCAAGCCTTTATGAAGCTTTGCTGCTACAGGCTCGAGAAAATGCCTTTCTGAGCTATTCAACACTGATTCATATTCTGTGGAAGGAAATTTTTACAGGAAGAATTGTTACTTTGCTCCAGGCTGACATTACGTGTTTGGCTCTTAGCAAAGTGGCTACATACTCTGTTTGCAGTACATAAGGTGATTTTTTTTCAATAGTCCAATCTACTATTAACATTTCTAAAATAATTAACATGGTTTTATATTTAAAAGGGGGGTTGCCTTTTTGTTCGAATATAAGGAAAAACATCGTGACGGTAAGGTCCGTCCTGTAGTGGAGCTGTCTACCGGTGGAGGCTGTGGGCTCTCCATCTCTGGAGGTTTTTGAGAAGAGACTGGGCGGCCACTTCTCAAGGGTAGGCTTTCCTACACATTGCAGAAGGCTGGACTAGATGAGGTTTGGGGTCTCTTTCAGCTCTGTGCTCCCAAGAATGTTCTGAAAACCAGTATAGCTGCTTGTCAGAAGTGCTCCAGAATAGACGCAGGACTTCCAAGCCTGGGAGAACCTTTCGGGAGGGGCAGGAACCACGAGAAACTGGAAAGATAGTGCTTTTCAGCATGCGCCTGTGAGGAGAAGCCGTTCCTGGGACTATCTGGCCCCAGCCTGCTTTGAGCTTGAAGGGCAAAACCCAACGTTTTGATTACCATCATATCCAGCCACAGCTGAGTGTAAAAAATGGCACAATTCACTCTGCCAGGTTAAGTTCCAGTCAGGGCTGTATATGAACTATCTGAGCTGGGCAGCCGTGCATACGTGGCAGCAGGCTTGTTCAAGCTGGGTCCTGTCTGATTCAGTTTGATTCCAGTTGGCAGGCCAATCCAATTCAGACCAATTTGGTTGCTAAAAATACATGTGTGCAAACAAAAAAGATCTCCAAATCAACCCGGAGGTGACTGGTTTGATTCGATGGTTCAAATCAAATTGCTGCTTTGATTCAAAAACCCAATCTGAGTGGGAATTGGGTTCAATCTCCAAACTGAATATTCGCACAGCCCTAATGTACAGCACCCCGCTATAATCCTATCTGGAAGTGATGAAAGCAGGAATGGTCCATGCCAGGCGTACTCCAGAAATGCTGGCAAAAGTCGGCATTCTGGTGGCATCTAAGAGCAGAGCCTGGTCCTGGAGCAGCCCCTGGCTCCTCAGCTGTCATTGGAAGAACACGTTCTTCAAAATCATCAGAACCTCAGCTGGGTAAAGCTTCAGATCTTTTTTAAGTCATACACCTATTTGCTTTTTTCCAGCTCGGACTTGGCTGCACTGCTTCCTTGGAATTGGAAGGTGGTTCCATGGGAGTAGAACATAAGCCGAAATGTAGAGTTGATTTTGTTTTACCAAAGCTGTCTCCTTATTTCACTAAGAGCAACCCAGTCCACGGTGTGCATGCAAGGAGGAGGCTACAGAACCACTCTGGAAATGTTATGGAACTCCCTTGCACAAAGCCTTACAGTTGCTCTACCAAGGCTCCTGGTGTCTCTTCTGAATATCAGCTGCAGAGATTCCCTTAATGAGAGTTTGAACTGTATCCTGCAAAGTATGTGCCCTGTAGCACAAGCCTGCTCCTCCCTACCTTTGCAGGATGGGAATGCTCTGGAAACCGGAGTGTCCTCTGTGATAATTCTTAGATGTCTCCAGACCAGTCTGGCATACAGCGGGAAAGGAGGTGGGTGACTGAATGGAACATGCAGGTGGAAAGCTAGGTTCTGTTATGGAATGTGCTGCTTTAAAGGGGTGTATTTTATCCTGCTTATTTAAGTTCAGAACTGCCTCTTTGGCATCTGTCCTGGTTCACCACCTCGGTGTCATCTGTGCAGCTCAGAGCTCCAGGAGTGGCTCTACGTAGGGCTGCCTCTGAAGACCACTTGGGCACAGGCCTCTCACTGAATGGCAAGTCATGATGCTCTTATCCTGCACTGGCTACCAGGTGCAATTAAATGCTAGGTTTGGCTTATAAAAGCCTAATAAAGCTTGGTGTCTAGATACTTGCAGGACCATCTACTCCTACCAGAGTCAACCGGCCTGTGGTCCTCTTGGGAGCCCTCACTGTTGTGAGGTATGGTGTGTGTGTGTGTGTGCTAGAAAGCAGCACTTTCCTACCATAGCACTGATGTTGTGGCACAGCCTTCCCCAGAAGTGAGACTCTTGAAGAGTGAACTTTTCTGGGAGAGGTTAGCTGCTGTTCTTACTTTGATATTATTATTTATTAGGTGTTGCTTTTGTTCTGAGTTGTATGATTGTTATTCTGTTTGAAAGTCTTACAACATTTAATATGTGGTTGAAAGCTGCTGTGAGGAGGAGGAGGAAAAGGAGGAGGACTAATATAGCAGCAGCCCCTGGAACCGCTGTCTTTGGTGTGGGCTGATGGGGCTGAGGGAATGCAACCCCCAGGCTGCTTTTGTCAGAGCAAAGCTGGTGAGAGATGGATGGCATTTACAGGGTCTCTGGTGCTGTTTTTAATAAGGCATTTGCTGCTGCTTGGTTTGAAATAACTGACCTTTAAAACGGAATTAAATTGCTGTCATTTCCTGTGATCTGTTGTGTGAAGAATGGATAGCTATGGTGGCCTTGCTGTTTTGGATTAGAAGGCGGGGAGTGGGTAATATTTGTTTATAAGTGTACATCCTGCCCACTCCCTGATAGGCACAGCCTCAAAGGTCTGTGAAGAGAAATGTTTGAAGCCCTTCCTAAACTAAGAAGGGAGGAAGCTTCTCTTTCCAATACTGGTTTGCCCAATGTACGTGCTGAATGCTGGATTTGAAGGTACCAGTATTAAACCAGCATCACATTCATGTTGGCAGATGGTTTCTTTGGGGGTTAGGGAGTGTTAGTTGTTGCTGTTGCTGGGGATAAGAGCGCAGCTCATTTTCATGCACACGGGTGAATGCTTCCATTGCCACCTTGTCCAGAAGCTTCTGGCTGCGAGCAAAGACACGTTGTGGTCATGGGAGAATTGGGTTCACTCATGCGCGTTTGGCCCATCCCATCCTGCAGAAGTGAGTGGAGGCAAGCCCTTTTCCTTGCTCTCCCCGTGCCTTTGTTTTCCTTTTCTGGAGCCAGATGTGATGTGATCCAGCATGGAATGCTGCTGCTATTGCTGCTATTGCTGCTGGAAGCTCTTCTGTTTGGCCACTGCTGCTCAGCTCGCTCCCACTGGTCCTAATAAACCCTCTCTTCCTCCGTCCGACTGGCCGTGCTGGTTCACCTGCTCTCGGCTTCCTCCCAGTTTGATTTCTAGGGGCCCAGCTGGTGGCTTCCCACTCCTTTCCTGAGCCTTGCCGAATACTGCTTTCCCAGAAGGGGAATAACATGATGGATATGTGTGCGTGTAGGTACAGTTGCAGGCAGAGCTGGGTCAGACTGTATGTTTCTGTGAATCCCTAGATGAACAGAAGCTGATGTCACCTCTACATGGTACCAAATTTGGACACCTTCCTGTTGATTCAGTGCTGCTTTTATAAAATAAAACAAGAGCAAACAAGCACGCGGGGCCTGCAGTGAGACCTAGGAATATTTCTGGTCTAGAAGAGTTCCACATGAAAGACTGGGAAAAAGTCCACAAAACTCTTAGTTGAAATAGGAAATGTTTGGAAACGATTATTCCTGCCAGAGGAGATACTGAAAAGGTGGCCAAACAGCTGCACCTGCCATATTCATCACCTTCTTATTCTGAAATTGTCGAGAGCCGTGTCCAGCTAGTAAGAAAGCCTTTGCGCTTGCAGAAAGATGTTGTGTTTACCTTTGTCTCATGCAGAGATTGTGTTTTCTTCTGTTCATTTACAGATTCACTGAAACATAAAATTTGATGGGGGGACCCTAAACTTTTGCCTGCAACTGACATGAAGGCTGAACTTAATAACAATGCCCTTTAAAATCTCCTGAGTAATGAAAGTATTGCTCTTGTGTTCAGACAGCATTGCACTTCATCTCAGTGGTTGGACTTGAAGTATATATTTTTTACTTTTATCTTTCAAACTTGGGTAAAGTAGCTTGAATGAATTGTGAGGGGTGGACACACCGTAGGCGGTCTAATTTTGCTCCAGAAGCTACCAGAGCTGACATAACAGCTGCCTGGAGAGTAGACAGAACATATCAGAGAGGAAAGCAGTGTAAGGGCAGCGGCACGTATTCTATTTCCCACCCACACGGAGATACTGTGGGAAGAAATGCGCCTTGATTGTACTAACAAGTGTGTGAAAAATGGCCGTTTCTACATGAGCTCTGTTAGCTTTTCAATGACAACAGGGGAGAAGTTGCTGCTCCAACTCGGCTGAGTTCAGAAAGCTGCGCAGGGCTGGACTGGAGAGTCCCAGGGAGGTGGGCTGCCCTGGAAAGTCAGAAGGAGCGTCCAGAAGTCAGCAGGGGCAGACTGAGATTGTGCCAAGAAAAGCACCCGGGTGAGTCTAGGAGAAACTCAAAAGAGGCCTTGGCCAGGGAGGAGCTGCGCTGGGGCTTTCGGGTTATCTCCCCTTCTGCGTGTGTGTGGAAGAGGTTGACAAGCAGGGACAGGGCAGGGACAGACGTTTGCAGAAAGTGGTGGTCATTTATTAGGGGCCAAAATAGCAGTGAAGACGCAGCCATCTGTTTTTAGGCCCTCTCAGGTAAGTTAGAGAACCTTTTTCTTCTGGCATAAAAAAGGTGGCTTGTGAGAGAGAGTCTCTCCCTTTGTCACCCAGCCCAGCTCAGTCAAGACAGAGGGCTGGGCAGGGAAAAAGGCTTCAGATAGTTCCGCCCTTCCGGGCTCCCTTGGGGTTGAGTTTCATCCTCTATCAAAATGGAGAAGGTCCCCGAAGCAACACTCCATTGGACTGAGATGCGTTAAAGGATTTAATATCAAATACCTCATTTAACAGTTTGCACAAGTCCAATCTGAAATGAAAATATTTGCATAAATGCTTCAGAGACCCGTTGAAACCCTCGGTTGGGCTGAAAACAACTATTTTGTGGTCCAGTAGTTCTGAGCTGGTTTTTCTCTGCCAAGATATGCTGGTGTGAAAACAAAGCATTTAAGGTAAATTTCAGGTTGCATTCCTCAAAAGGGAGGCAGAGTTGAGGTAGAAAGGGTAGAAGACAGTTTTGAATCCCAGCAATAAGACTGTGGCCAAGTACAATTCTGTACTTCCAAGTCTTCCTCATAGAAGATCAGTTTATTTCTAAGCATTGGATCCCAGACAGCTGAGTTGTCAAGAGTAGAACAAGCAAGTAACCATCTTTAACCATCTTTAAGGTGGTTTTGGTGCCCCTTTCCCCAACACAGGGAATCTTGGAGCCTCCCCCTTGGCAGATCCTCCTGCTCCTTCACTATCTTTTCTCAGCCAAACTGGGAAACTGAATCTAGGGGAATTTGGCCCCTTGGTTTATTTGACCCCTCGGTGGGCGTGATTGAACTTGTGAAGAAGATGGGGCTCAGATTACAAAAAGGATCATATGTGGGAAGAATAACCTAACCCCAGACTCTCTGCTTCCAAACCGAACTTTTTAGCTGAGCCCCCGTCATGAAGCATCACTTCCAGGGTTGGGTTTTTGTTTTTTGTTTTTCTTAATGTTCTGCTACCATCGCCACCACCGCCACCACCCCACATCTGGTGGTTGCATTTTGCACTAACTGAATGTTCAAACTGTTCAATGTTGAAAAGCAGCCTTAGCTTGGAAATAACTCATGGGCAACCAAAGCCAGAATAGGTTGGTTGTAGCTGGTATGTCAGCCTTGGCTGTTAAAGATACCCATGCCCCGTGGCACCGTTCATGCTCTCCAAGACAGCAGTCAGCCCAGAAATGTGCCAGTGGCTGGATTGGATCAGCTTTCCCGTTAACAGGAGGGTTGCCTTCTCCGGATTAATTATCTCAGAGAATAGCCTCCCTATAGCCAGGCAGGGACTGGCTTGCATCCTGAGCTTGTCTGCAGAATGCATTTCTGGTGGCTGCCTCTCGGCCAAGGAGAGCCTTGCCAATGGCAGCGCAGGGCATCACGTTGTCTTTAAGTGCCAGTTAGGCTAAGCCAGGGCCAGTCCTTCCTTTCGGTAGAGAGGCACCTCAGTTGGAGTGTCATTGAAAGCCTTCCAATTCACTGGATCATTAACGTGGTGGTGTTTTTCAGTGCCAAAGCATCTTTATACCACCTTTATGCTATTAGTTAGCAATGGGGGTTGTCTGCTCTCCACCGTATGCCTCAACCTATCCGGTCTTGGTCTGGCTCTGGTTTCTGTAACCTGATGACTTGGAAATTCACTTGGGGCTGGTTTCTTCTCTTGAAGTTTTTTCAGCTTCACTGGAGTCTGATAGATTCAATTCAGCACCTACATTTGACACTTGAAGTTGTGGTGTATTAAATAGACGTGGTAAATATGAAACCAGCCTGTCAGATTTTAATAAATCCCATGTCTTTTTTTTTTAATCAACCATGTTCTGTTATTGCACCACAGCCACTGCTTTGAGGGTAATTCTGATAACAAAAAGAGAGTTTCTCAAAGAACAGCATGACGTGTGTGATCCCAGCAGCTTTTAACTCAGCCATTTGAACTTCTGAAAGATCTTACTTGGGGTTTCTTGTTAATGAACATTTCTCACAGCAGCCCCTGCTCTGAAGTTCAGCCAGAATAAGGCATCTATGTGTACGGAAGAAGGACAGCTCAACTGTCACTGTCTCTGTGTAAATCCACCAGTCCTCTTGGCCCCCCAATGTTGCTGCAAGCGAGGCAGATTCTGCTTGTGCTGGCTCGATAGTGTTGGAGGAAATCTGTTAAGAAAGAGCCTCAACTCACCAGTTTTCTCTCCCTTCTCAAGATGAGCCTCGTTTTGTCTACTCAAGCAGGACCCAAGAGTCTCAAAACACTATGGCAAAGCCAGGCCAAGCACCCGTGGACATCTTCCGTTCCATGGGACGGACCCCAATATGCAGGAAACAGGGTGTATTTAAAGAAGGAGGACGTGCAAGATTATAAATGTGATTGCTTACAAATTAATTATAAAAAGACAAAGTTTTAAAATAGACTCCGGCTGCTAAGCTGTACCTGCTAAATGTCAAACCCCAGCTTCAGCTAGTACTATTGCTCTGACCAACTTCCTCTTGAACCACACATATAGTGGAAACTATTCTCAGGTACCTGCTTGCTTCTGGTGCTTGCTAAATATTTGCTGCTGCAATTTAAACTCTTACTATGCTCAGGAGCTCCATGCAAAAACATGTATTAATATTCAAACTGCTTAAATTCTTCCACAGTTGCAGATGGAACAGTCCATTCACTTACAAAGCCAGCTTGAACACATGTCAGATTTCCCACGTAAACTCCACAAGGGCTCAGAGGGGCATGACGGGAGGGGTTGCCCAGAGCCCCCTCCTCTGGCCTGCATTGAATGAGGGGTTTCCTTCATCTAAGAGGGCGCATCCAAAATGAAGGTGCTGACGAAACTCTCCCCAACATGACCCCAGGCTGAGTGACGTCCAAACCAGCAGTGCGGGCAATTGGAGCCACAACCTCCGGCTGTGGTCGCTCTGCCGGGGACAATCAGCTACTACACAAATGACAACATGCCTTGCCATTTTACAGGTGGTCCTTTTTCAATGTGATTTACAAATAATTTTTATTCTTATCAAAGCACAGTGAAAAAAATCTTAAGGTTGCTGAGGTTGAGGAACCCTGCCCTGCAGCATTCCCTCCAAGGGCCTTCCGGCACCTGAGTCTGGTGGCTTTGGGGAAAGGGACCCCCTTCGCTCTAGCTCTCCAGCAGAGCAAACTTTCCACTTCCCATTCCTGACTCTCAGCATTAGAAAGCTTTACGATCTGACACACAGTTTCAAATGTGGAACATCCCATCCTTCTTTATTAAGATGTAAATAGAGCAAACTTCTTTTTATTCAAGGCCATTTTGAACCAAAACAGAACATTCAGTGTTGTGTTGCCAAGGTTTTAATTGTTTATCAAATAAATTAAAGAGAAGGATTTGAAATAAAAATAGCAGCTTTAGAAAGGCAGACACTTTAATAGCTGCATGCTTAACCCAAAGCAATTCAGTTGAGTTGAGGCCATCTGGTCATGCTTTGGACCATTGTTTTCTGAAGGGATGACTACTTTTGACAAGGTTTATTAATGCTCTTTGTTATCTGTATACCTCAGTAATGAAAGCTTCTATATGTGGATATTTCTATTAGTGGATATTTCTATTGATATAGAAAACAATGTTTGGATATCAGGAGGTCTATGGAAAAAATATAAGGTTGGATTTTTTAAAATTTAGCTCTTAATCCAGAAACTTTCTTGAAAAATCAGGAGATTTTTATTCACGCCAACAGACTATTTACAGAATTGAAACATGTAAGTTATATAGATGTAGATATACTTAAAGAGAAATATAAAATGCAAGTGGATTTTTTCAAAAATGTATAAATTGTTAATACAATCAGAAATCAGAAAATGAAGATACGAAACTTTTGAAGAAGTTATGGCAAGTAGATTGTAAGTGGAGTATGGGAAAACATGTTCCTAACTTCTCCTCCACAAATTTGCAGGAATCATGCTGAAAGATTTTATAGTATTAGCAGCATACCCCAGATAAAATTTAATTTATAATTAAAGCAAGCAGAATTTGATGCTGGAGGAGTTGCCAGAACTAAATTACTTTTTTACCTATATTTAGTGGTTATGCCCAAAGCTAGTTATTTGGGACAGGGTATTTCAGGAAATTGCATTAATTTCTGATCAAAGCATATTAAAAATTTCACATTTCGTCATTATTTTCTGGTAAGAATGTAAATTTGAAAAGCAATACCTCTATTGGATATTTAATTAATGGCTGCTAGATTAGTAAAATATTGGGAACATCTAAGAAAAACTGGTGTGACAAAGTATGGTCTGTTGCCTTAATGGAAAAATGAACATGTAAATTGAAACCACTTAAAGAAAAGGAAGAAGAGTACTTTTACTGTATCGTATGGCTTTATAAAATACTTTAATAATGAAAACAGCAATCAGCCACCTACATCTCATCATAAAAATTGTGGAAGACATTGTAAAATACACACACACAAAGCTATAGCCCTTGCTTTGTCTGATATTCATGTATTGATTTTAAGTTGTGAAATAACATTGTGAGTGCTGCTTGTATATTGAAAGTATTCTTCTGGAGCCCCTGATGCAAAATCTGGGGCAGGAAAGCTTGATCGGTCACCTCTGCACCCCCTTCCTTGTCATCTCCCTCCCCAGCAGCCCCTCTGGGTTGGTTCCTGGAGAGGTGGCCTGGATGGCAGGCAGAGCAAAAGTGCCCGATGCTGTACAGTCTCCACTTGGCTTGGAAATGGGCGCTTGGCTGGGTCTAAGTTGCTTTTCTCTGTTGCCCTTCTCTGCAGATTATAGGCCTCGTAATCTTCTGTGTGGGCATTTATGCTGAAGTGGAAAGACAGAAGCACCGGACGCTGGAAGGGCTTTTCCTTGCCCCAGCTGTCATTCTCATCCTCCTGGGCATCACGATCTTTGCCGTTTCTTTTATTGGCATGGTGGGCTCCCTCCGAGACAACCGGACGCTGCTGAAAACCGTAAGGCTCTTTTCTGCAACATTTGGTTCTTTTTATGCCCCTTGCCTCCTTCCTGCACCTCCACTTTGCCATAAATGATACCTGATTGAGAGTAGTCTGACAGTCATGGCTTCCCCTCTCCTTCCCAGAAACCCCAGAGTTTTGAGGCACTGGAAGAGGACCGCTACCCCTTTTCGTAGAGCTACCTGAGCACGAATTCTCAGGTGCTGAGATGCCACCCATCACATGCCCCCCAAAGCCTCCTCATTGGGCACTGCAATCCTAGTAGGTCTCTATTTCTTGAAACACCACATACCTGCTCAAAAACACATGAACTGTAGAACTAGGACACAATTTTGAAAAAACAACCATGGTTTGGAAAACAGTTCCCAATTAAATTCACCTTATAATGTTTGTCTTCACAGCTGCAAAGACTGCTTGAAAGCTCTAAGTACAATCACACTTCCAAATGCTGAGGCACATAAGGTTTCTGGGGCTCTTCGGCGCCCTGCAGGGTTTTCCTTCCCACTGTTAGCTAAACCCTCCCACACTTGTCGTCTTTACAGAATCTATGGGGCTTCCAGCTTTTAGCTTTGCTTATGTGATGCTGAGGTTGCAGGTAATTAGAGCAAAAAGCTTTAAAAGTGCTCTTATGTGAGTGACTTATAATCTCATTTACACTTTCGGCTGGGGTCTGTTTTGGGGCCCAGCCTGGAGCACCAGTGGAATTCTCCCATCCTGCCTATGGTTCTAGGACCTGTAAGGCTTCCTAGAACAGCTGCTCTTATTGATTTCTGCTGATGGCCAGGAACTGGAGGTAGTCCCTTTGAAGCCTGAAGATGTGCCTTTTGCTCCTCGGTTCTCCTCAATAACATCTGCACCTGTAGCCCTTTAGGAACTCCTCTGTGGTGAAAGATCCTGGTCCAGTTCCAAAGCTTGTTCCACAGATCAAAACTTGTTGGAAATAATGGAGAAGTTCCCTAATTTTGGGCATCACCGTGTCTTCTTCCCTGCAAGGGAAGTCAGGGATCCATCTTAAACCAGGTATGGGTAACTCCTTAGACCCCTCTGAGTTTTTCCACACAACTGCTGAAAATCTGCATCAGAGCTTCCTGCCATTTCCAGACAAGAAACATTTGAAAGCTGGGAGATAAGTCCCAAGGCGAGTAGATGTAAAACATTTTTTTAATAAAAACCTTGAACTTTGTTTTTTCCTTAAAAAAAGAGGGAAACCCCAAATATGTCAACCCTGACCACACATGTAGCGTGATCCTCCCTATTTTGCACCATTGCCTGTCTGTTGTGGTCACAGGCCCTCAAAAAAAGAATGTGTGGCCCTGGTGACCAAAAGTTTGCCCATCTCTGCCCACCAAATCATAAGACTTGGTCAGTGTGAACCCTGCTGGCCCCATGTATAGGCCCCCACCCCAGCAGTGTGGCAAATTTAGGGTTTGGAAGATTGTCAGGCTCGAGTGAGTCCTAATCAGAAGAAGCTGGAGATCAAAGCCATGGCTGCGTGTCCTGGTCACTTCCGCAATACGTTGTTGTTGGATAAACTGTGCGCAGGCAGTTGGCTTGTTGTGATCAGGGAGTGCAAGTGGGGTCCTTTGCAGGAACCAAGGCTTATAGTCCGCCTGATGTGATCAGTGGGCTGGGTGTGTGTGTGCTGGTAGAGCCCAAAACACGCAGTTAAATTGCCCACAAGAGAAATGCTCTAAAAGTTTCTCAGCTGCCCTCCTTGCAGAAAGGCCTCCCTTTGCTTTTTCCTACAAGTTTTGATCTTTGGAACAATCTCTGGAATTGCTTTTATTCGAGAAGGACAGAGAATATCCTCTTAATATAACAAGCATTTGTCAAAATCAGGACTGTAGGGTTTGGCAGAACGCTAAATGAAAGAGCGTCTGAAAAGAAGCCATGTCTGGGAGCTGACATATTTTTCCTCTGTCTGTTTGAAATCATTTCCAGCTCAGGGGGATCAGAGCCAACTGGAGGAGGGAGGCAGGACAAAATAAGAAGATTCAGCCCCTCCTCTTACCATTATGATGCCACTCTGCTACCCGCTGGGCTCCCCTTCCCTCTGAATCTTGAAAAATCTCTTACGGAGGTTCCTTTGGAAATGTGAGAGACTGTGGCGGACATAGCCAAGGCAGTATTGTTTCCACCAGTATGGAACTAGTGTTATCTAAGAGAAGGAATTTGCCCGGGTTGGAGGTTAAATCTGAGCCTCAGAGTAAAAACCCTGTTATTTGACCTCATAGTAGAGCGTCCGTTTCACCCCATTAATTTCTCCAAAGCCAGCTCCTCCTGACCCCTTCTCTCCTAAGCTGCCACCTACGTTCACCCCCCACCCCCATCTCGGTGGATCATCCAAGACCATCCAATCCATCCCATCTCTTTCTAGCAAGCAGGTGCCCAACGCTCTTTCCACGGTTCGAGCAGCATCTCTCCACTCATCCCCTACACCCCCCACCTTGCTCCCCAGCAGCCCCCTCACTGGCTCTGCCTCATACTCCCCCAGCCCCACCACTGCCTCCCATCAGCCCATCATTCTCCGTTACTCCAGGCCCTCCATTATTCTCTGCAGCTGTTCTTCTGCCTCCCCTCCCCCCTCCAGTTTTTAAACGGCATTCATAGTGCACAGCTGAGCACACTGGGAAACACAATGCAGGCCTCCAGTGCTTGCTAATTCCATTTTGCGACCACCAATGAGCACAGGGCCAAGCTAGGCAGGTTGACACGGGGGCGCTAGGTACTTTGTGTAGATACTTGCCCATCCCTGAACTTCAAAAAACAGCAAGGGTAGGAGTCTTGAAAATGCCAGAAGGCCTTTGTTGGTGAAGTGATGCACCATTTGGGAGAACATTTGGGAGCAGAAACTCTGCTGTCAATAGAAAACAACCAACCACAAGGTTGACCTGCACTATTTTAGCCGTTTCTCAACAGATGTGTCTGGAATTTGGTGATTCCATGTCCTAGAATCTAAATCTTCCATACAGAACGTCTGGATAAATGTGCTGGAGCTGATAAGCATTCAGAACAGCTCCTGCGGTCATTATCTTGAATTTCACGTAGAATCCCACTGAGAAACTCTGGTAAAATTCAAAACCAGCATTTTAAAACACACAAATTCCAATCATAAACATTACCATTTATTGGAATGGTGTATCCACAAGAAAGGTTTACCTGTCTGTATTTGCTTCAAAATGGGGCTAGAGTCTCGTCGTCACAAGCCATTTTGGGCCATGCCCTGATTCTGCTACCTCTCCTGGTGAAGTTTCTCTAGGGTAAGTTAGTGGGATCCCCTGAGATGGACAAGAAGCAGGCTGGCGTTGGCTCACCTGGGCAGCAGTGCTGCCTTCCCAGTAAGGCCCAGAAGGGGATTCTACAGGGGGGGAGGCAGACGACAAAATGAATGTGGCGGGTCATCCTCTCCCCATTTTTCCTTTGAGTCACACGTTCACTGTTTTTGACCATGTCCAGACACCCCGGAGGCCATGTCTGAGTTTTTTGGGGGGCCTGGGGTACAGGTGGTCTTTGAGTTGGGGGACAGGAACTATGCTTCAAAAGGTAGGCAATGCCAGGAGAAAAAAAATGGTGATACCAGAAAGAAAACTAAATTCAGTGTTGTCTAAAATTAATTAAATATAGGTTAATTTTCTCCCCTTTGGTCCCATGAAAATTGTAGTTCAGTGCAACTGTAAGAAGTGGTCCTTCGCAGTTGGCAGACTGGATTTGGGTCTCCCACTTTTCTTCGCTCTTCTTTATTATTCATGTACTAATCAGATTTGAACTCTACTATAATCAAAAAGACTTGGTTTAAGTACATCAGGAGAAATGGAATATAACATCCAGAGTAAAAGACTATAAAAACAAATACTCCCACAATAATCAGTCATACCTCCAGTTTTTAACAGCTGGCAGAAGGCTGGGAAGGGGTGCTTCTGGCAAGCGTCTGTCCCTAAATTTCGTTCCACAGCGGAGAAGCCAAGCTGGGGATGCGATTGCCAAATGACGGGGAGGCTCTGCCCCTCCCGTGGGCCGCTCCCGCCTCTCTGACCTCGGGCCTGGCGCTCAGCCTGGAGGGGCAGGGGGAAGGGGGGTGCGCAACAGGTGACAGAGGAGAACGACGCACGCTGTTGCACAGACAGAGAGGGCTCTGTGCCCTCCTTCCAGTCCTTCCAGTTGCATGACCGCTATTTTGTGCCCCCCTCTGATTTGTCCTGTGCAGGGAGAGTTTCCCTGGTGTGGAAAATCAGCTGGGACTTATTTATCAGGCCACGAAGCCTTCTTCTGTGCCAGCTACCAGGGAATACCCTTACAAAACCTGTGGACTGCCTAACGGAGCACCCGCCGGGCAGAGGAGCTGGGATCCAGCAGAGTGACTCATGAAGAATAAATAAGCACGGGCAGAACATGTGGCCAGAACGTACCACTTACGCAGGAGGCTAAAGCATGTTTCCATAGCACATTTTAGTTTTAGGTTTAACTGTGAAGATGACACCTCTCCGTGTGTCCATGTGTGTGTATCGACATACGGGAGACGTCAGCAAGTTCCCACGTGTGCGTGGCCCTGCAGCTGCTGCGAGGAACTTAGCGCCAGTCTGCCTGCGCGGTCACGTTTATCCTCTTCCAGCCCATCCTTTGCAGCAACATGGAACTGGCAGTGGGGCAGACTGCACAATTCCTCCCCATAACTCCTATTGGAATGGGTCTCCGTCATGTCAGATTGCAGCTGCTGGCCCAGCCCGGGCGTTTGGGAGAACCAGCCAGCGCCGCCGCCGCCGCCCCCCGCCCAAAACAGCCCCATTGCGCCTGGCTTTCCTGAGAAGGAAACTGAAATCCCCCCGATTTGGCAGCCAGCAAACAGCGCTGCCACGAAATGAACGCTCCCCCCGCATTGTTCTCCCTGCCGCTCTCTGAATTAGAGGGCAGACAAA